TGTCCAGAACACAATAAGGGAGAAATGCTGTAAAGAGGTGTTTGCCCTCGGATGGAGACCCAGCAAGGCTTACCTGTGCTTTGCTGTCACTAGGTTCATCTCTGACCAGCTACACTCAAAAATACAGCTTCCTTCAAGCAGTGGCGGAGAGTTAGCATCTTCTGATTTATAGGTCTTTAATTGCTTTTAGAAAGCAAAATCATTTCAGTAAGGGCAGACTGACAATTTCTGTGGCCGGCAGAGCAAAATGATCGACAGCTGCAGAAGGTCCTCCTCTCAAAGAAAGTCCAAGCTGCAACACCTGAAATGTGCGTTGGTCACTCTGGCAGCCTTGTTTAGAAGCTCATGTCTATTTCGTAATATACTCAGGAAATCTAATGCAAGTGTTCAGATACCATTTCATTTACCCTAAGCTATTTCTCACCTGGTTAGGGGTCAAATATTTGAGTCGCCTCTCAAATATTTAGTCAACATCCTTCAGCATTACAGTAACTTCACCAATATTAGATTTTTACTGTCAAAACTCCCTTCTTATCTACCACCACAGTTACAAGCCTTTCCTTGGTCAGCAGAGGTCTCATTAGAAACTTCCCAAACTCTTTCTTCTTCTGATGGGCAGGCATACAGGAATCACCAAGGCTAGTGAACAGAAACATGCTGATAAACATGTCAGATACTCTCTGGGGTGTGAAGCGAAGGTCTTCAAGTACCAGCACCAATAACCAAGTAAAGAACATTTTCCAGTAGGTATTATTGCTGTCAGAGTAGGGTCCTTTTAACATCACGAGAATTTCAAGCAGAGAATTCAGCATGAAGAACGCTTGCTGTTGGACAGAAAGGGAAGTACAGAGTGTACTAGGTAAACTTTAATTCCCTAGCACAGGCTTTACTCTGTGTGCTTCAGCTCCTCTGCACCAGGCTTACCATGACACCAGCTGCTGCACTCCCCTCTCATGTCTTAAGAAATATTTTGGATTATTATGCAGCACCCTGCTCAGCTTTTATACATGGTGAGAGTTGGAGAAAACAGTACACTGCTGCTCTCAGGACTGCAGACCCGTGCACTTTCTTTACCCTTGCCAGAAACCCTCCTGTGCTGTATAAAAAGGGATGGCAAATTGAGCAGTTCAGGCACGTTACGGTTAGTTACTGGGCTTTCCTCCAGAGGCTGTTCTCTGTCTGTTCGTCCGTCCAACTGCAGCACATCCGTCTCTGCCTCCAGGCTGGGCTGCCTGGCATGCACCCCTTGTCCTGTGCCCGCACACTGTGGGTAGAGCCGTGAAGCTGTGCTGGGCACTGGGCACCTACCGGGAGGGGTCTGGCTGGGCTGTGCCCTTCCTGCAGGAGGAAGAACAAGGCTCTTCCTCCTCCTGACCCGAGAACACCAAGAGTCCCTACATAGAGCTTGGTGGGGAGGGGCTGCTGGGGGCACCCCCATCGCTCTCACCTGAGCTGGGAACAAGACACTTCTCTCTTCATAGAATCATTAACGTGGGAAAAGAGCTCTATGATCATCAAGTCCAACTGTCACCCCATCACCACTGTCACCACTAAACCAGGACCTCAAGTGCTATGTCTACATGTTTTTTGAACATCTCCATGAGCGAGAACTCCAGCACTGCCCTGGGCAGCTGGTTCCAGTGCTTCACGCTCTTTCAGTAAAGAAACTTTCACTACTGCCTGATCTAAACTTCCCTCGGCACAACTTCAGGCCATTTCCTTTTGTCCCATTGCTTGTTCCTTGGGAGAAGAGCCTGACCTCCCCTGGCTGCCCCCTCCTGTCAGGGAGCAGCAGAGAGCGAGAAGGTCTCCCCTCAGCCTCCTCTTCTCCAGCGGAACAGCCCCAGCTCCCTCGGCTGCTCCTCCCCACGCTTGGTCTCCAGACCCTGGCCCAGCTCTGTTTCCCTGCTC